TCAGTCAGCTATAGTCTTGTGAGTTCAATCTCTGCACCAAGTAATACAGACTTTAACTCAGTAGAAACACAGTGAGTAATAACTAAGCAGTGCAAAATAAGCACAAGACGAGATATATACCTAGACATAGATTGTGGAATCTACCTCTGTAAATTAAATAAAAAAATTCAGCTTGAAATTCCCTGAAGGTTACCTGCATTGACAGATACCTGAGGAATAGCAAAGGTCATAACAGCCGAAATGTTGTGATAATAACATTAGTGAATTTTTCTAAAGAAAGTAATGGATTTTTATTAATCTAACTCATTTTTACCACTTTAAATGTTATTTTTAGTGGATACTTTTATTTCCCCCCCCCCTCTCTGCCCAGGGTTCTTATCCTGCTAGAGAGCTTAATTTTTCTTTTAATAAGATTTCTCAATCATTCAGGCTGGTAGATGAAAATAAATAATAATATTTATTTATTTTCATATACCAGCCTGAATGATTGAGAAATCTTATTTAAATATGTTTAGTAAACAGTAATCATACTTATTATAAAACCCAGGTTGTGTGTGTGTGTGTGTCTGTTCATTTATATATTGGATCGAATTTCCTACATTTTTCAACTGATTTCAACAAAACTTCAAAGGACTACGTAAAATTACCTTGCGGTGGTTCTGACAGTGCCAAAAATTGGAAAAACACAATTGTTTTTGCACAAAATCAATTTGAAAACATGATTAAGAGGCATCGCGTGAATGAAAGGGGGACAACTCATATCGAGTTATACTTATTATAAAACCCAGGTTGTTTGTGTGTGTGTGTGTTCATTTATATATGGGATCGGATTTCCTACATTTTTCAACCGATTTCAACAAAACTTCACTTTTTTTTTTTTTTTTTTTTTTTGGCAGGTAGTGTTTCTTATTGTCTTGCACACTTTTTTGTTTATTTTTACATTCAGAATGCTTTAAAAATTCCATTTACAAGACAATTATTTATAATAAAATTCTATTCAATCAGTAGACTCATAACGATTGAAAACAATGTTTTTGTTCGAGTTTGGGTTTCACCAATTCGTAAAAAAAAAAACAAAAAAAACAAGACATGCATGTCCGTCAACCTTAAACAATAATCTTTGTCAATTTTATTTTTCAGTCTTTATGATAGTTGATACTTGATCTATCTCTTACTGTTACATCCCTGGGCAACGCCGGGCTCTACTGCTAGCAATAATTAATAACAGACCATCTACTCAAATATGAGTATCCATTAAAAATAATCTTTAAGTAATAAAATCTCTCGGATTAATAAACAAATGAAAAATCCATTGATAATGTTTAATTGATAAAAATAACATTAGTTTAAATGTAAATAAAAACTCCTCATCCCAGAAATTCAGATAAAAGAAATTATTTTTGCAATTTTCTTTTTAAATTAAACTATTGATGAAATTATCTCACAATAATCCATAGGTGTTATTTTTTTGCATAATTTTCCATCTAAAAAAATAAATTTGAATATATGGGTTGTGTAATTTGAACTTGAAATTAGAAATTTCATGTTCAAATTCTGGTTAAATTTGTTACATTCATTTATGCACAAATATCCTTGCAATTGGTATGAATCCATCTCTTCCCTCAATTATGGGTTAAATAATAAGGTAGACTGAGCTCTTTAGCCTTGGATGGTAACCAGTCTAGGAGAAGGACAACTCTAAATTCAAAACAGTTGTGTAGTCCTGGTAAAGCATATGCTATGCAACCAATGAAAGGATCATGGAATTCACAATGGCACTGTGACTACAGCACATCTGATGTATGGAAATTAACAAAAAAAAAAAAAAACATTGCCTGTGGACCAGTGAGATTCCTTTGGAACCACATCACTAGGCTGCTAAGATGATGGAAACTGAGCAATCTGTGGATCATTATATAGGATGAGGCAAATCAATGACTGAGTCCATCTAGTTCAAGAAAGCTTTTCAGCACTTACTGTCACAAGTAATCCGGTGCTGTGTAATAGAAAATTGACAAATGAAATCAATGAATAATAAGACACAAACCAAAATATATACACATGCACAGAATTTGACTGCATTATCTGAAGTAGATAAGTTCCCTCCAAATAATAGCAAAACATATATACTAGGTATGTTAAAAACTTTTCATATACACTGCAAGCCCATTTGAAGAAGTGATGCAAAATACTCTTCACTCTGAAATATATTTGATTTGACATTTGACATGACATTTGATATTTGAAATATATTTGACATACATATTTATAACATTTGACATAGTTTCCCATTTGACATGATATTTGATATTTAAAATATATATTTGACATGACATTTGACATAGTTTCCCATTTGACATGATATTTGAAATATATATTTGACATATATTTATGACATTTGACATGATTTGCCAACTGTAAAAATAAAATAAATTGACAAAAATATTTTACTAATTAATGAACAGTTTTTGCTTTTAATTTAATTTTTTTTTAATAATTTCAAAATGCTATTATTATTATTATAGACTTAGGTGTTTTTGTTCTTTTTTATAATATATTTTACTCCTTTGGGTATTTTGCAAAATAGATTTAGTTTAATAAAAGTATTACTCAGAATAGTTCTGGTGATTGGGCCAATCTTGGATAAATCTTTTTAAAGATTTATCCAGCATAGAGAATTTGGTTAATCATATTTTACTGCCAGTTGACATTTTTCTATCATTCTTCGTATCTTCATATAGAGGCCATTAGCTTTCTTGATCTATGCCTTTGTTTGAGTCCATGCCCTGGAACTGTACATTCTTCAGAGTGCAAGCAGTTCTTTTCTACAGTTCTAGCACTTGAACTTCAACAAAGACACTGAACAAGAAAGCTGATGATGTCTATACTAAGAATGTTGAAAAAAATGTCATCTGGCAGCAAAATATGACTAACTATGGTACTTGCCAAAGCTGACGGCTAAAATTTCTGAGATGAGAGTAAAATTCAGTCGAGAAGCAAAAATAAAATCACTCCCAAAGTTTTATGTTGTTTCCATTGCAAAGGTTCCCAATATTGTAAGAGATCAGCACATAGCTTTGTTGACCAATTGATTAAATATACAAACTTATTAAAGCATCAGAACTTATTAAAGACCATAATTTAGAGAGAAGATTAATCAAAGATGTTCAACTGCAGTTGATTTGATGATGATTGGTAAAGGAAACTGCAGTTGGAAATCTGCAAATAGTAAGGTCATCACTGTTAGCAATTGCCTGGTTGGTGAGATTCTGTTTTATATCTAATTCCAAATAAACAGAATATAGACGTTTATTCTTATTTGGTGATGGGGTCCTGGGTATCGGTATTTTTAGTACAACCCTTAATTTCAAATCAGTTCAATTCAATGTACAATGAATTATGGCACAATGAGTCCCTACTAGATGTGTTAGGACACACACATGAAGTCAAGTAAAATTGAGCTTTAAAGCAACACCCACTGTCTACAAGTAGGGTAAAAGAAAATGAATAAATAAAACGTTTTGGGATTAAGTGCCGCTTGGCCAGAAGGTAAGGAATTCCCTTTGTAGGCTTATATTTTCAGGATGCCTTCTAGATAAGAAGTCAACAGAGCTGAGTCATAAGTCACCTCTTAAGATATAGAGACAGTTGCAGTCAGAGAGGAGCTGTTGGAATTCCTGCTAGCCAATGGGAAGATCTGGTCTATTAGTCTGTCATAAGAGAAAACAAAAGTATCAGTGAAGATGTTCCAAGTTTCACCTAAACATGCACCCCCGCAGACAGTGTCAGGTAAATCCATGAATAAAAAAAAACAGCATATTTCTTATTTCAATTCCTTTGTTGAATGTACACAGAGCTTTCCACAGGTAGGAATCAAAACATTGTTAGGGATGAAGCTGTTCAATCATTAGAAAATTGAAAGAGGGTCATGGTTGTATGTTTATAGAATGCTGTCCTGAGCAGTCATTATTCACTTAATGTAGCTATTGTTTATCAATCCGAAACTGAAACTAATGTCCACAGTAATCACTCTTGAGCTTAATTAGATTTGTAATCAAGACCTGATTAGTTTGTATGCAAGCAATTCTAGGTGATCTCCTGTTTTTTTCTGTAATGTTCATAATGACGCAACAGTGATCGATTCATTGTTGCAAAAGGAGATTGACCTGCAGTACAGTAAATCATCTTGAGGTCAACATATGTATTGAGGGTAATACTTTTGATCTTGCCCCGGTTAGTCAACAGATAATCTCTTCTTAATTGCTTGCATTAGAATTTCAGTTCATTCCCATAATCCACATGGTAATCTACTGCAAGTTCTCAATCTATCATTGACAATTTAAAAAAAAAATATCAACAGCATACGGGAAAATTTCTTTAGAAACAAATAAAATTGTGATGAACTGTTATGTAATATCAGTCCTTTTATATGGCAATGAATGAGGGATAATTTCTTCACAGAGGAGTCTCGAAGCAACAAAAATGTGGTTCTACAGAAGGATACTAAGAATACTGTGGACTGAGCATGTGAGTAATGAGGAAGTTTTAAATAAACTGGAAACAAAAAAAGCACACTTATACTTAGAATCAGAAATAGGCAGTTGAAATTTCTAGAGCACATAATGAGGAAGGAGGGCTTTGTGAATTTGACACTCACAGGACATATTGAAAGCAAGCGAGACAGAGGGAAATAGCAAGTAACCTTCCTAACAAGCTTGTGTAAATGGATGTCAGTACAGGAAGTGGGTAGCAATGTCGAAAAGACATGCCTTTACTAAGAGCTACAAAGGATAGAAAGTTTTGGAGAGTCATGATCATCTATGTCCTTAAGGGTACATGGCCCATAGAAGATGAAAAACTGTATATAGTAGCCTTCTGGGAGAAGTATTTGGATGCTTGCAAAATATTTAACATACTTCCAAAGATTAAATTTACTTTCATTTTACACAAGTGATGTAAAATTTACAATCATTATGCAGAATAAAATACTATCAGACTTATGGCCACATTGGTTCCTATATGATCACTGAAGTTAAGCAACATTAAGCCTGGTTAGTACCTAGATGGGTAAACACTTCAGAACACCAGGTGCTGTAAGCTTGAATGTGCAGTTGGTGTAATGGATAATGGCTTGGAATTATTAATTGGAGAACTGAGTGCCAATTCCAGTTGGGTTTGTCATATACACACAAATAACCTTGGGAAAGGTCTGAATCCACATCTTCTCACCCCAGCTATAGGTTAATTAGTAAAGTAAGGCTTGTATCACTAAATCATTATTATAAAATTACATTTTTTTTTTTTTTTTTTTTTTGGTGAATAATGAATTTTTACAAAAATTGCCTTCATTTTTTAAATATTTTAATTAGAATAATTTATCAACTTTTACATCTTTTAAAATTCTCTCAAGTGATATTGTTATTAAATTAAGACTGTATTTACTAATCATAGATGGAACAGCTCAATAAAATATTAGATTGTTTAGAATATTTTCTTATGTTTTTAAGATTACTGGGTAGTTAAATAAAAATATATAAAAAATTATATTCAAGTAATTGTTACAGATACATCCCTTTAGAAAAAAATTGACAAACATAATTCGAGGAAGAAAGTCATCACCACCTCATAAAAACAATCATCTCCATGTTAATAAATGTTTTTTCTTCGATATTTTAAACTAAAAGTAATATATATTTGCTTCAAATCAGATTAATTAAACTTTAAATCATGCAGAACCATATATATATATATATATATATATATATATATATAACACACGCACGTTGCTGGGCTTCTCCTTTATATGAACCTGTAGTTACATTTGGGCTTGAACCTTGACCTCTGGCAGTACTAAGAAATACCTAACTCTGTACTAATTGCTCATAAAAACATGAAGATTGTTTTGTACCAGTTTCCCCTTCAGCTGCTTGTAAATGCTTTGAAAATGTACATCTAAATATCCTGGACTTGAATTGTGACTTACATGCAATTGAGGGAAATGCTTAATTTCTCCCCCCCCCCAATGGTCGATAGTGATAGAGAGGAAAGTAAAGCGGAAAGTATTGATACGAAGTAACCAACTTCTGTCTGATAATACATAATAATGATTTGAATATTTCTTTTGTCAATATTTGTGCAGTCAATATAGAAATAAGTGCACGGCATTATGAATCATCCCATTACATTGGCTAAAATTAGATTAAAACTCAGCAGAATATTTTAGGTTGTTCCTTTAGTGAACCAAAATTGTAGGACTGCTATATTACTTGATAAGTAGAACTTGATATATACATATATATGGTTATATACATTATTTGTTGTAAGGTTCTATTTACTCTTTTAAGGAATGCACATCCATTCATTCAGATTTTCTCAAAAGCCCATATCTGCCCAGTTTCGTATCCGAAGCGTAAACAAAGCAATTTCTAATGAATTAATGAATTTATTTTTTTATCCAACATTTTTATTATTTCAAACATTACTTTTGGTGATACCCATGTTTGAATAGTTGCCATATTTTTTTAACTTGTATGTATTACATCTATCAGTCTGTGCACTCAAGGAAACAAAGAAAATGTGGTACATACATACATATATATATATATATATATATATATATTATTTAGATTGTTCAGACTGTTGTCCTCATCTTTGTTACCATATTCACAATGCTTTGTAGGCTCCAACCTTCTTCAGGCGATTGAAATTTAGAACTTAACTTTTTATTTCATCCACTGGAGTAGATTGTTCTAGTTCCATGTGCCATGCCTCTTCTGGATGTCTCTGCATCAGTTATCTCCAAGTTTTTTGTTCACCTCAGCTGTAGCCAGGTATTAAACTGTAAGCGTTCTCAAAGCAAATTTGTCGCAGATTACTCTCCCAACAAACGCCATAGCCAAAAATGCCTGAATTTTCCTTTCAGTCGTTAGTATGTCCATCTTTTGGCTGCTCTCGGTCACTCACGAACGGTTCGATTTGCCGACAGTGGAGCAGACAAAAGATGGACATACTAATGACTGAAAGGAAAATTCGGGCATTTTTGGCTACGGCATTTGTTGGGAGAGTAATCTGTGACAAATTTGCTTTGAGAACGCTTACACTTACAAGCTATTTCGGCAGATCGCACACAAAACACAAACTTTTTTCCGAGATTTCACTACATAAACTCACAACTCTGGGTTAAGACTGGATTCAACCTACACTTATCCTTGAGGATGCATGGCCCAATGGTTGAATCCAGTGACTAAATGATGTCATCCATGGCATGTCATTGAAGGGATACCAAAAAGTGTCAAGCACAGTCTATCCCACAATTGATCCTCTGCAAATATTTTTGAAAGTATTAAAAATAAGTAGCAAGCAGTGTTGATAGGTCAGGGCTATAACCCCCATTTGAAATGCTACACCAATTGCTGTAAATAATGTAAAAAAAAGAAGATTATTTGGTTTAACTCCCCCACATTTAATTTACAAGTAAAATGTCGGCAACATTTTTTTTCCTTTATATTAAATAAACATTTCACTGACAACAATATCAACCTTGCTTGAAGATCTATTCATATAGGCAGCTAAACTAATGTCTATATACTAGACAATAAAAAAACATCTGTAGAAATTTCCTTATCTTATTTAAATATTTGAGCTTAACAGCAATAACAATTATAAATATGAATACTGGTCATTATTTTAAAAAGTGGGTACAAATGAAAAGATTTGAAATTGACAACTTTTTCCATTTCACTGAAACAGCCATTAAACACTTCCCTTCTTTCTTTCACTCATTTTCTCACTGAAACCAAATAGTGTCTTTTCCCCTCTTTCCATGCAGTCAAAATGGAATAGTCCATTATTTATGAGGTATTGACAGGGCATAACAGTTGTGTGAAGTAATGAAAGGAGGGACAAGCACAATTATAACAGGATACTCATGTTCCAGCATAACACTGAGTGCAAAGTCCATTTTGGCAACATCTGGGGGGGGGGGACTCAAATACAACACAACCAAGGCAGAACCAAAGTTTAATGGTAAGAAACTATATCTAGAATTAGTTTATCATCTTCATTATTGTAACAGTGTTTATAGTGCATTATAGAGTTTAATTGAGAAAACTCTCTAAGAAGGAATTTAGGTTTCTTCAGGAGCTTTGAATTGAGAGCAAAGTGCAACATTCCACCATTTTCCTTAAACAGGACAGCTTATCTTTTCATTTCTTTCATAGACATTGTTACAGGTGATGAAAAATAGGTTTTGCATGTCAACAGAAAACAAAAAAGATAGAAACTAATGGTAGCACCAAAATTGAAACTCAGTCCACAGAAATCCTCGCTGTGTGTCTGGAATATGAAAGCTATCATCCTTTACAAACTGGTTGAACATAGCAATAACATCACTTAATTGTTTATTGTTAGCAACTTAACCAGGTAAATGAAATATCATTTTGAAAGTATAAGCTGAAAAGGCATTATTCTGTAGCATAACAATGCAGAATAAATGCAAGAAAAAAATAGTCATTACAATAGCAGGTTCTTCCACATCCTCTATGTTCACCAGATTTTCCTTGTTTTGAACACAAGAACAATTAAAAATCAAAAATGTTTGAAACAATCTTTCAAACTTTTCTTTGGAGTTCTTTAAACATGGATTAGAAAATTTGCCTTTCTGTTGGGATGCAGTCATTGAACATTTTTGCTAAATAATATTTAAATAAATTTAACTTTAAAATATTTATTTCTTTATACCTTTTCTGGTGACCATAATTACTTTCCAAACACCATAATATATTCATGGACAATATATACATGTAATCACTCCTCTCATATGAAAAACATTTGCACACCCTTCATTAAACTTTTTTTTTTTTTTTTTTAGTTTATGACAGAAATTATTCATTATTCCCTGATAAACTTGACTCATCACCAAGACCAAATTTTGGATCTGATTCAAATATATCAGTTGGTGACTTCCTATCTAATTGCCGCACTGCAGACTTGCTTCTTTTAACTTGTTTTTTTTTTTCTTTTTCTTACTGGGGAGAGCCAATGAGAAGGGTGTTGCTAATAACTTTGTTCAAAGTTCCTAGATTTCATTTCTTTTCTTTTTTTTTATACTAATGTTTGCATCTAAGACAAAGAAGAAGAGCCACTCAAGGTAGAGGGTTTCTGAAGAATTTTGTTGTATGAGCATAAGAGGAGGAGCTAAGTAGTGCAGTTTATGAGGTCGTGTAGGAGAAATAACAGTTAACAGGTTGTGTAGAAGAAATAACAGTTAACCCTAGACTTGACAAGGTTAAAATTGTAGGGATAGAAACACATCCTCTTGGGAGTCTGTTACACAAAGTAGCAGTTCTTGGTAAGAAGTTATCTCAGTTGTCCTTCTTACTAATGGAATAAACAGGGAATGAAAATGATTTGTCCCAGTGTATGTGGCATGGCGGGTTTTAGCTGTGAAGGTCAAGACTCGTGGAACAAAGGAATGTCACTTATCAGAATATTTTCTATGGAAATAGTAATAGATTAATGAGAGTTCTGCGACATTTTGTCTGTGGGAAAGGGTTTGTAGGATAGAATAAGAGAATGGCTTTGTAAGGAACAATTACACTTGGTCTAAAGTTACAAAGTGTTCAAAAGGGAAAAACAGCTTCTTTTTTTTTTTTTTCATGGCTGCTACACTAAAATGAAATTCCTTTGTTTCCATTGTTTTCAGTTTTTTGATTTTGAATTAATAAAACTTAAACTTTCTCCCCTGGAATAGTTTTTGTTTTCCACTATCAAAGGTTTTAAGCTATGAAGAACATTCTCTTCCAAAAGGCCTACCTTATTAATTTTTGACTTGTATTTATTATCATCTTCATGTTTTAGTTGCTTTTTATGACATCTTTCATTCAGGGCTTCAAATCAAAAAACAATAGTAAAAATCAATACACACTGACAGTGTTTCTATTATGTGCTGAGTCCTTTCAGGATACGGACAATCATGGCTCTCCACAATTTAATGGCTTTCATTGATTTAAGTAAGCTATGATTTTTTTCACATCCCTCTTTGTTCCTGCTCTGCCATCCATTCACACAGTCATTAAGTAGAGGATCATGGCTCTCCAC